TTTCTTTTTTTTGAGACAGAGTGTCACTCTTGTTACCCAGGCTGGAGTGCAATGGCGCGATCTCGGCTCACCGTAACCTCCGTCTCCCAGGTTCAGGCAATTCTCCTGCCTCAGCCTCCTGAGGGATTACAGGCACACGCCACCATGCCCAGCTAATTTTTTGTATTTTTCGTAGAGACGGGGTTTCACCATGTTGACCAGGATGGTCTGGATCTCTTGACCTCGTGATCCACCCGCCTCGGTCTCCCAAAGTGCTGGGATTACAGGCCCATTTTACTTTCTATCTCTAGCTTTTTACTCATCTAAGTACTTCGTGTGTATGAAATTGTACAGTGCTCGTCTTTTGTGACTGGATTATTTCACTGAGCACAGAGACTTTATGACTCATCCACGGCAAGGTGTGTGTCAGGATATCCTTCCTCCCTCCCTCTGTCTTTTCTTTCCTTCCTTCCTTCCTTCCCTCCCTCTCTTTTGTCTCCTTCCTTCCTTCCTTATTTCAACAGGGTCTCCCTCCATGGCCCAGGCTGGAGTGCAGTGCTGAGATCTTGGGTCACAGCAGCCTCCACCACTCAGGCTCAACCCAATCAGCTCACCTCATCCTCCTGAGTAGCTGGGAGCACAGGGCCACCACACCCAGCTAAGTTTTTATTTTTAATTTTTTGTAGAGAAAAGTGTTGTCCAGGCTGGTCTCAAACTCCTGGCCTCCAGTGATCCTCCTGCCCCAGCCTCTCAAAGTGTTGGGATTACAGGTGCGGGCCACTGCACCCGGCCCCCTCTAATTCTCTTGTCCTCTTTCCCTTAAGACAGCCAGAACAATGAATAAACAATTAACTTTCAATGAAAATAATTGAGGAAGAGCGCCAGAGCGCTTTAGAGGAGTAACAGAAGGCTGGGTGAGCGTGTCTGCATGAAGAACAGAGGAAACGCTGGGCCTGCACTGCACCCCGGTCCCCAACCAGGATCCTCTGGGAACAAGGCAAGGAGGTGAGCAAGGAGATGGCAGGAGCCCACCTGGAACACCTGCAGCCCTCACCGCCAGCGCCCTCTGTCCTCATGGGCATTAAGCCAGGCGAGGGGGCGGCCTGAGCGGCACAGCTGGGCTCCCACAGAGGACCCCACAGCCAGCCCTTTCCTGCGGTCATGTGACTACTGCACTGCGCTACTGCCGAATTGGAACTGGGGCCACAGCACATCTTGTCCTGGGATTGAGTAGCCACAGCTGCCCTTCATCCCCGAGATGAAGCCACCATCGAACCCTCAGCCTGGTGGCTTCACACCCCTCAACTGAGCTGTGAGCACCGGTTACACCCTTGCCCCTGGGGCCAAGCAGAGATGGAGGTGCTGCTCTGGGTAACCCTTCCCCTTTCCCCGGCCAGAGCTGAAGTCACAACCCGCCTCCTTGGCTGCTCAGAGGTGAAGTTGGAGAAGATGCTGCATTCCAGGAAACGGTGCCTGGCCACCCAGAATTGTCACATCCCTCAAGCCTAAGCGAAAGCAGCCTGCTTTCCCCAGGAGTTCAGTTCCCTGGCTGAGCTGAGCCGCTGTGGACCCCGGGGAAACAGGGCAGTGGCTGAGCTAAGACGCCGCCCTGTGGGCCAGCTCTGGCACCTTGCCTCCCTGGAGCCAGATCAGCCTCCTAGAGATGGAGCTTCAGAGACAGCCCTCTTCCTCGGAAGTGGGTCTCCCTGGGCTGCTCCCTGCCTTCCTCTGCAATGTGTGGTTCCCGGCTGCCTCGCTTCCCCACAGGGCCCAAATGACAGCTGTGCTCTGCCATTCTGCCACTGTATCTGACCTCATGAAGTCTGGGATACTGCCAAGCCCCACCATCTCGGAGTCTAGTGTCACTACTGCATGGAGCCTCAGCCCCTAAACCCTGAGTTACACTGAGCCCTATTGGCTCAGGTCCCGGAATTGCAGCCGTATCGCGATCCCCAGGTTTCAACCTGAAGCACCACATCTTCCCCAGAGTTGGGCTGTTGCTCTGCTCTGTCCTCCAGGGGAGAATCACAGCTACAACCCGGTCCCCTGGGCCTGACCTGCTAGTGGGTGCTTCAGAATTACAGATCCTGTGGGGGTGGGAGGCTGGGGGAGGGATGGCATTAGGAGAAATACCTAATGTAGATGATGGGGTGATAGATGCAGCAAACCACCATGGCAAGTGTATAATAACTATGCAACAAACCGGCACGTTCTGCACATGTATCCCCAGAACTTAAAGTCTAATTTGAAAAAAAGAATGATATATCCTGGCTCTGTGGGCAATACACATTCAACCTGCCACAGAGAATAAACCTGCACCCAATGGCCCAGGCCTGCTCTCGGTTTGTATACCAGGTCCTCGGCCTAGGACGCCAGCCCCACAGCTGGGTGGCACCCACAAAGCCAGCGCCACTGCACCTTCTTGTAGGCCACATCAGACTTGATACCAAAAGGTCCCCTTTGGCTGCATATCCCCATTGTGGGGAAAATAAGAATAGGAGGATCCCAAACCCTCTTGACATCAACGACATTAACAACCACGGCCACACATCTCATAGCCTGGGCCTTGAGGCCCCCAGTTATTGCTGATGCTCAACTACTGAGAGCCAGCTCGGCCACTGAGATCCCCACCCAGGCGGCGCTGAAGGAACTGAGAGGCAGACACTCAAAACAGCAACGTGGGCCTAGCCAAGAGGCCAGCAACCTTCCAAGCCGAGAGCCTCAGGCACTGACAGCATTCTGATTTGAGGGCCTCGAGCAGACTCTGACCCACGAGTTTCGTCTCTCTGAACAGGTGATGATTGTTAACAAACAGCTGTTTGGTATTTTCTCATAACACAAAATATGCCCAGTAGGCAGCTGGTGCCTATTTACCACTGATCACAGACAAACTAAAAGGTATTCTCCACGAGGGAGCCACAGGGGCAGGGTCAGATGTTCCGAGCTTAAAGAATTGTTTTAACTGTCGTATGATATTTATATATTGTCATGCCACTTTAGAATGCCCCAAGTAGTTTTCTACTTGGTGGGGGGGTGGTTAGGTTTTCCTTGCCATCGTTCTTCCTAGCAAACTATATATATATATATATATATATATATTTTTTTTTTTTTTTTTTTTTTTTTTTTTTTTGAGACGGAGTTTCACTCTTGTCACCCAGGCTGGAGTGCAATGGCTCGATCTCGGCTCACCGCAACCTCCGCCTCCTGGGTTCAGGCAATTCTCCTGCCTCAGCCTCCTAAGTAGCTGGGATTACAGGCACGCGCCGCCATGCCCAGCTAATTTTTTGTATTTTTAGTAGAGACGGGGTTTCACCATGTTGACCAGGATGGTCTCGATCTCTTGACCTCGTGATCCACCCACCTCAGCCTCCCAAAGTGCTGGGATTACAGGCTTGAGCCACCGCGCCTGGCCCGCAAACAATATATTCTATCATACACTCAGCGTTTCTCAGCAATCATTCACTCAGCATTTCTCAATATTCATAAACTTAACATTTCTCAACAACTTGACATTTCTCAATACTCAACACAGCTGAAGGGCTGCACGGAGACCATATCACTGCACCTATCAGGAAACACAGAAGTCCCACCCTTTCCAACCAGCACCCTAAGACGCAGCTGCAGGTGAAAGTCAGTCTCTATGAAAGCCACTCTAGAAACTTTGGAAGAGGCGATTGTTCCACCAGATGTACAGACATCAGTGCAAGGACACCAGAAACATGATGCAGCAAGAAAATCTGACACCACTAAAGGAACCTAAGTGTCTAGTAACAGACACCAATGGAAGAGGAAATCAGTGAATTGCCAGAAATAAATTCAAAATAATGATCTTAAGAAAACTAAATGAGGCCGGGCACAGTGGCTCATGCCTGTAATCCCAGCACTTTGGGAAGCTGAGGCAGGCGGATCACCTGAGGTCGGGAGTTCGAGACCAGCCTGACCAACATGGAGAAACCCTGTCTTTACTAAAAATACAGAATTAGCCTGGTGTGGTGGCACATGCCTGTAATCCCAGCTACTAGGGAGGACAACGCAGGAGAATTACTTCAACCTGTGAGGTGGAGGTTGCAGTGAGCCGAGATCGTGCCACCCAGCCTGGGCAACAAGAGTGAAACTCCTCTCAAAAAAAGGAACCCCTCGGCCGGGTGCGGTGGCTCAAGCCTGTAATCCCAGCACTTTGGGAGGCCGAGGCAGGTGGATCACGAGGTCAAGAGATTGAGACCATCCTGGTCAACATGGTGAAACCCCGTCTCTACTAAAGGTGCAAAAAATTAGCTGGGCATGGTGGCACGTGCCTGTAATTCCAGCTACTCAGGAGGCTGAGGCAGGAGAATTGCCTGAGCCCAGGAGGCGGAGGTTGCGGTGAGCCGAGATCGTGCCATTGCACTCCAGCCTGGGTAACAAGAGCGAAACTCCCATCTCAAAAAATAAAAATAAAAAATAAAAAAATAATAATAAAAAAAGGACCCCCCTCAACATGTGGGGTCGGGGGGCAAGAGAGAAACACTCACTCCTGGTATCCTTGGCCTCAGTGGGCCAATGCTGAAGCCCCCACAGGATTGTGGCCCAACGTCTCCCAGTTTGAGCGAATTCACTGGCATTTGTGCCTTCCCTGCCTTGGTTTCTCCATTTTCCCACCTTTGCTTCCTGGGATCACCTTCCAGATAAACTGCCTGCACCCATGTCCTGGTTTCAGGTCAACCACTGGAGTGACCAAAATAAGATCAGGAACATCTGGCATGTGTGTGATTGGGAACCCTGGGATGGGGGCAGTGGGAGCATTTCCTCCACGGTACCCCCAAGCCACGTCTTCCCACCTCTCTGACACACTGAATACTACCGCTCTTCCATCAGTTATCTTTCTGATTGAAATAACCAGAGGGTTCTGCTGTTTGCAACAAAAACCTGGATAACAATTTAGGAGTTCTGGTAGGGTCTTGGCCTGGACCGGACATGAGTGAAGAGGAAGGAGTCGTCCCTGAAGCCCCTTAGGTCCACAGAAACCTCTGCAAAGCATCCACTTTAACATGCACACGTATTTATTAGCAAATGGGACAAAAGGGGCTGGAATCTGATCCCAACCCTGTCCTTGAAGTGCCACATCCCCGGGGAAGCGAGCCAATACTGTGGTCTCCACTGTAGCCTCAGTCTCTGGTGGACTCAAAATGGCTGCAGGATCAGGGAGCCCAGAGCAGAGCAAGGAGCAGCAGCAGCTGGGAGGGGCTTGGCCTGGGCGTACTGGTAGACATCACCCTCTGGATCCAGTGGAAGTACACACTGATGTTTGTGTAGACACCAGGCCGATTGGGTTGACCACAGTCTATTCCCCAGCTCACGATTCCAACCTGATACCACAGTCCATCCTTGTCACAGACCAAGGGTCCACCTGAGTCACCCTGGGGAGCAGCATGGGTGAGCCCAGCCTGGGGCAGTGGATGGGGCAGCAGAGAGGCCATGAGAGCAGAAGGGTCTGTGGGCTGGGCAGACTGAATGCAAATCTTACTCCTTCTCATGGACTCAACCAACTCTTGGTTTCAATACTTAGAAGTGAGGCAACGGCCTCCAGAGGTTGACGAGTTAATCAGAATTTATGAAAAATGAGAACCATGTTTTGTAGGCTCAGTAGCTAAGACCGCACTGGCTTTCTCAGAAGAAATCGAAGCAGTGGGTTGGGAGTGGTTGTCGGGGAGGAGATGGTAGCTGCTCTCAGGCCCGGAGCTGGGGATGGTGGGATTCCCTAGTGGGGTAGAGGCACTTACTCTGCAGGTGTCTACACTGCCATCTTCAGCACCAGCACAAAACATGGAATCCTGGATGATACCACGGCTGGAGGGCTGTTCAAACAGGTAATTACACCTGGTGTTGTTTAAGATGGTGACTTGTGCTTCCCGGAGTTTGTAAGGAGGTGGCAGACGTTCTGGAGATAGGACAGAAAAGACAGCACCCTTTACCTCTCCTCTGCCATCTGGGGCAGGGAGAGGAGAAAGGACATGTGTTATAGTGGTGGTGAGGGGTTCCTGACACACCCACAGTGCCTGGCATTGCTCCTGACTCCCCAGCACCTAATACATCAAGAGCAATCAACAATATCACAAAATAACCCAATAGATGGCCAGGTTGTTGCAGAGCTTCCTGAAACTCAGTTTCTCTCTCCGTAGAATGGAGACGACAGCCCCTGCCTGAGTCAGTGGAGAGATTTCTTAGCCAAAGCATGGCAGGAGGAAGGGTTACCATATTGGTCAGGCTGGTCTTGAATTCCTGACCTCAGGTGATTCACCCGCCTCGGCCTCCCAAAGTGCTGGGATTACAAGCTCAGGCGCCCAACCTGTTTTTTTGTTTTTAATCTTTTATGCTATATTTTTACTGTTCCTCTTCTATGTATAGATACGTTTAAGTACATAAATGCTCACCAGTGTGTTACAAGTACTTCTGGTATTCAGTGCAGTCACAAGCTGTACAGGCACGTAGCCCAGGAGCAATGGGCTGTACCACAGACTCTTCGTAGAGTGGGCTGTGCCATCTGGGCTTGTGTGACTATACTCTGATGTTCACACAGTGATGAAAATGTCCCATGATGTGTGTCTCAGAATATATCCCAGTTGTTAAGTGATACAGGACTGTAGGCTAAAAATCACTGAATCATGTACTTTAACACTGAACACTTGAAAACGTTATGGTTTGTGAGTTGTCTCAATTTTTTAAAATCATTGCCTGAGGCTTCTGTCACCAGGGCCTCCCTCACTCCCCCTCAGTCCTGCAGGCCCTGGGCCAAGCTGGCCTATCTCTCACACTGTCCTCCTGGCCCCCGAAGTCCCTGGAAGGGCAAGAACTGAGTGTTTGGTCCCTGAGCTGACAGGTGGCAATGAGAGCAGAGAAGCAAGTGAGGAGAGACGGCAGCAAGCAGGAGAGGCTCGGGCTGCACCCCCAGGCCAAGGAGGAAGGGTGCTGTGTTTGTGTGGCGGGAACAGGGTAGAGGGTAATGCCCACCCCACACCCCCATGCCCCCACCGGTCTACCCCCAGCCTCACTACCGTTGGAGCCGAGGAAGCCCCAGCCGGTCACCCAGCAGTCCCGCCGGTGCAGGAAGATGAAGGTGGATGACTCGACGCAAATGGGTTGGACGTGCGAATTGTAGGCGACAGAGGAGGCCAGTCTCAGCAGGGCAATGTCATTGTATATAACCCCAAGGAAGCCAGGGTTCATAATGATATTCTGCACTTTGTAACGATTTCTTTGAGTCCGCAGGTTCCAGAAAGGCGGCCTGGAGGTCAGCTCGCCCAATTGGACCGTCCACTTGGAGGGATGATAGTGCCTGGCAGAAATGGAGACAGGGTGGGGAGCCCTGGAAATGAGGCGGGGGGAGGGGGCGCCTGAGCACTCTGGAGGCCCAGTCCCTGAGGCGAAGCTGCGGGTGGCTACTGCTTCCTCAGCTTGGACGCCAGTGGGAAGTCCGCGGCCCCGCCCCGCTCCCCCACGCAGACTCACTTTCGGAAGCAGTGCGCAGCCGAGAGCACCCAGCGACGGCTGAGCAGGCTCCCTCCACATCGGTGGAGTCTCCCCAGGCGCAGGCTGGCCTGCCATGGCCAGCGCCCGTGCGAGGATTCCACTCCACCTGTTACCAGCGAGTGTATTTCCCGGTGGCCGCAGGGCTCTGGGATGGACAGATGGACGCGGCTAAGCTGCAGGGGGCAGGCCCAACCCCGCCCTGTCTCGCCCCCGGGGTGGACGCAGGGAGGGGCGCCCCGGGGAACTGCGCGCCAAGAAGGTGACGCTGGGGACCCTCCCACGTGGTGGGAAGCTACCCGTCCCACCCCCAGGGCCCATAAGTTACTTGAGAGCATTGCGTTCTCGGGACCTGGAACAGAGATGGGTCCCATGCACCCCAGCCCAGAGGCCCTGGCAGGCATCGCGCGTCCTGGCGCCCTACCTGACAACAGCTTCGCCTGCTGCAACTCTGCAGGGTACAAGAAGTGAGCTCCTCACGGCCCCCACCTCCCGTCCTCCCCACCGCCCCCAGTCCTGCAGGCTGCGCCCCGAGCTCACCTGGCTTCCTGAGTCCCCCCAGCGCCAGCAGCAACGCCAGCAGCAACGCCCTGCGCACCCCCATGGCCTCCTCTCCCGCTGCTTGGCGCCCCCTCTGCCTCCTCCCGCGCTGGGCCCGGGGCGCCCCCTGGAGGCGGGGTCGGAGCTCTGCCCCCTCCCCCAGCTTCACCAGCCCTGGGCCCAAGGGCTGTTGAGGACCCTCATGCCTGGCAGCGCCCTGGCTTTCAGCTCCTTGGGGCGGGTCCTCAACCACACTCCTTGATGTGGCCCAGACCTGGTGGACCCCACAGTTCCTTTCTTGTGTGTAGCCTGTGGGGTCCTGGCTGCCTGCTTGGTGCCCCCTGTCCTCTACCCATGACCTCCTCCAGCACCAAGGGCCTGGCCCTGAGTCAGGAGCCCCCTTAAAGCAGGCAGGTAAGGCCTTCCTGAGGGCTACGTGGGGCCTGGCAGCATGGAAGTGCCCATCCTGTACAGACCCACAGAATGTCACAGCCCAGGGGCTCTCAGCCCCACTTCCTGCCCCCTGCCCTGCCGGGGGCCCCACACAGCTACCTGGAGCACACCTCGCGGTCTCCCGCCTTGTGGGAGGTGTTTCAGTGAGCAAATGTAACCTCTGAATCCAGGTCCACAACACCTGCAGAGCTCCCTCTACTCAGGAAAACCGTCACACTCTTGGTTAGGGTTTAGGGTTTAGGGTTTAGGGTTTAGGGAGTGAAAGGACTCAGGTTAAAGTCGGCAAACGAAAACGCACACAGGGCAGAGCGCAGGAGAGACCAGCAGGAAGGCCACGGTGAGCGCCCCAGGGGAGGCCTGTGGGCACCCCTCATTCTCCCGGCATGGAAGTGTGACAATCAGGGACACTGGCCTAAGCCCTGGCGGCAGGGTTTTACTGGAGGTTGTCGGTGTTGGCCTGGAGCAGCTGCATGGCTGACGTTAGTCAGCCTCAAGCTCCTCCAGAGGTCCCGTGATACTACACGGCCCATGGCCCCCCATTCAGTCATACTGTGCGCACCAGCTGTCAACCGGGGCCCAGGTTCCAGGTATGCAGAGGCATTCTTATCAGGCAACACATTCAAGATCTTAGAGTTTCCCTTAGAGGTTTGGATGTGTAGCATCTGAACACCCCAAGCCTATTGAGTTAACTATCTGCTGTAAGGCTACCCCGTGGCCCTCATGGCAAAAGGGTAGTATTTTTCCAAGCATCCATGACTTGGAATGCAAATAACAGCATGGGTGGGCCGGCCGGGCGAGGTGGCTGACAACTGTAATCTCAGCACTTTAGGAGACTGAGTAGGTGGATCACCAGAGGTCAGGAGTTTAAGACTAGCCTGGCCAACATAGTGAAACCCTGTCTACAAAAAATACAAAAATTAGCCAGCTATGGTGGCAGGCACCTGTAATCCCAGCTACTTGGGAGGCTTAGGCAGGAGAATCGCTTGAACCCAGGAGGCAGAGGCTGCCATGAGCCAAGACCACGCCACTGCACTCCAGCCTGGGCGACAAGAGCAACACTTGGTCTCAGAATAATAATGATGATAATAATAATAGCATGGCCCATCAGGAAAGGACCTGAGTCCTTGACCCCAGCTCCCTAGAGACTTCAGTGCACTGGCTGTGTGCTTAGTCTGGTGCAGGGAGGGCAGCTTCTACCCCACAAGCCCTGCCATGTAAAGCCTCGTAATTACCTATAGCTGGGCCTGCAAAAGCACACATTGGTTGTCAGAATGAATATGCCTCACGTGTGGAGCAGCCAGTGTGGGGCAGAGAGAGATTTAAATAACTACTTTTCACTCTAAAGCATTACATACAGTGTTATATAATTGTACTAGTTTCATGACCTGCATCCTCCATTGTCTACAGCTATTTATATTTCTTTTTTTTTTTTTTTTTTTTTTTGAGATGGAGTGTCTTTCTGTCGCCAAGGCTGGAGTGCAATGGCGCAGTCTTGCTGCAATCTCTACCTCCCAGATTCAAGTGATTATCCTGCCTCCCGAGTAGCTGGGATTACAGACACTGGCCACCCTGCTTGGCTAATTTTTGTGTTTTTAGTACAGATGGGGTTTCACCTTGTTGATCAGGCTGGTCTCAAACTCCTGACCTCGCATCTGCCTGCCTCAACCTCCCAAGGTGTTGAGATTACAGGCGTAAGCCATTGGGCCCAGACAGCTATTTATATCTTACGATTAGCTTGTACAGAAATATTTAGGGTCCATATTGCCTATGGTTGACTACCCAGTTCTCAGGCTGTTCATTTTCCATCAGTATCACATCCTAAGGGGGCGTTAACCCTGCCACTCGTACATTTGGCCATCAATATCACTATTATCACATGACACATTTATATGAGGTAGTTGAATTTTTCCCAGCAATGCTAGTGTTACATTACATTGCAATATGGTCCTGGTACAATTCAGTTTCATCATAGAACAAATCACTGAGATTACAGCAATATCTGCTAAACCTTCTCAACAGATCGGACGACCTGAAGAAATCTCTCAGTGTCTTTAACTTCCTTTTTAACTTAACAAATGCTTTTTTTTTTTTTTTTTTGAGATGGAGTTTCGCTCTTGTTGCCCAGGCTGGAGTGCAATGGTGCAATCCCACCTCACTGCAACCTCTGGTTCAAGTGATTCTCCTGCCTCAGCCTCCCAAGTAGCTGGGATTAAAGGCACCTGCTACCACGTCCAGCTAATTTTCATATTTTAGTAGGGTTTCGCCATGTTGGCTAGGCTGATCTCGATCTCCTGATCTCAAGTGATCCACCTGCCTTGGCCTCCCACAGTGCTGGGATTACAGGCCTGTATTTAATTTTATAAGCTCCCTGTTGTTGTTTTTTTTGTCCCCCAAATCAAATCCTAAATTAGGCCTCTGACTTAGACTTACTGCTGAAGGCTTATAAAAGCTATAAAAATTAATCACCATGAGATTATAAAATCTGTTTATAGCTTCCAAGCAGATCATAAATTCCAGTATCACCACCTCCAGCCTAATGATCACATATTCTAAAAGAGGTATCAGTTAGAGGACTCCCTTCAGCTCCATTTAAAAAAAAGTTCTGGCCGGGCGCGGTGGCTCACGCCTATAATCCCAGCACTTTGGGAGGCCGAGGCGGGTGGATCACGAGGTCAAGATATCGAGACCATCCTGGTCAACATGGTGAAACCCCGTCTCTACCAAAAATACAAAAATTAGCTGGGCATGGTGGCACACGCCTGTAGTCCCAGCTACTTGGGAGGCTGAGGCAGGAGAATTGCCTGAACCCAGGAGGCGGAGGTTGCAGTGAGTCGAGATTGCGCCACTGCACTCCAGCCTGGGTAACAAGAGCGAAACTCCGTCTCAAAAAAAAAAAAAAAAAAAAAGTTCCTTATCAGGTGTGATTAACTGCTCCTTGTGCTGCTAAGTCACAGGGAGTTGACTCCTGAGCACGAGTATCTCATCTAAAAAAGACACCAAGTCCTGCTGAATTTTGGACAACTATGCCAGTATTTGACATCAAACTCAAGTTAACCAAAGCCTCATCTTCAGACCCCGGAGAAGATGACAATCAAAATAAATTGCTTTCATGAGACACAGCTCCCGGCCTGTATTCAAAGACATTAAGACTCATTTAAAGGCTGGGCACAGTGGCTTATGCCTATAATCCCAGCACTTTGGGAGACCAAGGCGGGCAGATCATCTGAGTTCAGGAGTTGAAGACCAGCTTGACCAACATGAGAAACTCTGTGTCTACTAAAAAGCACAAAATTAGCCGGGCATGGTAGCCCATGCCTGTAATCCCTGCTACTTGACAGGCTGAGGCAGGAGAATCACTTGAACCTGGGAGGCGAAGGTTGCGTTGAGCCAATACTGAGCCATTGCACTCTAGCCTGGGCAGGAGTGAAATTCCGTTTCAAAAAAACCCCCCAAAAACTCATTTATTAATTTTGCCTCTACTTTAGTATAATTTGTTCTATTCCTTAATACTAGACAATTTAAGTGTTAGCTACTTGTGAGCTTCCTTTTTCTGTCATTGTCAAAACTAGGCAGGGATTATGATATTTTTGTTTACAATGTTGCTGATTCTTTGTGTTTTATTTTCTGGAGTCAAAAAATACCCCATGTTTTTTTCCCCCTTTTCTTTTTTGAGATGGAGTCTTGCTCTGTTACCCAGGCTGGAGTGCACAATCTCGGCTCACTGTAACCTCCGCCTCCCTGGTTCAAGCTATTCTCCTGCCTCAACCTCCCAAATAGCTGGGATTACAGGCGTGTGCCACCACGCCCAACTAATTTTTGTATTTTTAGTAGAGACAGGGTTTCACCATGTTGCCCAGGCTAGTCTTGAACTCCCAACCTCAAACAATCCTCTCGCCTCCGCCTCCCAAAGTGCTGGGATTACAGGCTACCTCATCCGGCCACCATCTTTTTCTTTTGACATATTTTTTAGCAAATAGCTCAAATTAAGTAAATAATGAAGATTCCTTTTCTCTCTCTGCCTGATATCTCTAAAATTTAAAACCTTTTCAGTCACACTGGGCCTAATCTGCTTTCCATTGGCAACGCACAGCTGCTAACACTATCCAGTGATAAGCATCCACCTTCGAGGCCCTAGTACTGTGTGAAAGAGATGGGTGTTTGAGATCGTAAGAACCAATTTGAAGGAGTAAAATTAGTTCAGACTCTCCAAATCAAGGACAAGCACATAGATGTCTACACAGCTAATAAGCTGAGGGACTTTGCCACCTGGGCCATTATGTGGCCCCTTTTCCATTCATCTCAACCATAAAGAATTTCCTGCTTCCCACAGACTTAAAAAAATTACTGAGAGGACATCAGGATACCTGCTGACAGAGCCTCCTGTTTGTTCTCAGTTATGGAGCGCAATTGCACGAATGAAGAATAAAAAATGTATTGGCCACCTTGGGTCAAATTATT